ACTTTTCACATTTTCGACTTCTTCTCAACTTGCCACAAAGCATCCTTGGGTAAAGGGGATTCAAATTTGTTCAAATGAAGGGCCATGCCCTCATTCAAAGGGAGATAATTGGGAATTAATGAAAATTTGGTGGCATGTTTTAAAAATCTTCTCAAGAACCACTGTGCCAGGAAAGATGAAACTGATGGAGAAACATCCTTAGGTAGTGTAGATTCAAGCTTGTTCAAATCATGACCCCGGGGGTAGGGCGGGGCCAATATGGCCGACCAAAGCAGGGCTCGACATTAACGCTTGTCCGCTTGTCCGGTACCAATGAAAAGTAAAATACGGACAAGTGAATATTGCTGGGCACTTGTCCGATTGGACAAGTGCATTTTAATGTAAAGGGATCTCTAAATACTAAAAAGAACGACTGTTGACAGCTATATTGGTGGTCTCAAGACGGAAGCTGTACATAAAATCCAGACTTTGATCCCGATATGTATCGCTATATTAACTGAGTTCAATTTCAATCGGGATCGAAGTTCACTAATTGCATACTACTGAAAAGTCATGGAAGATATGAACCGAAGTGTGAATTGTTTGATGTTGACAGGTTCACTTGTGGACATTTATGTTATTGTCAGGACAGAAAGCCTAGATAAAATTTTGTTTTATATGTTTGTTGTATTTATCAGTGACATCACGAATCAATCAAGCCATGTGTAATGGACTTTATTTTAATTTTCAAGTTGAAACTATTGAACTTTATTGAAAAATTTTCGGACAAGTGAAGTTGAAATTCGGACAAGTAAATGTCTTGGTCACTTGTCCAAATGGACAAGTAGGAAAAAAAGTTAATGTCGAGCCCTGCCAAGTTTTACATAGAAATATATAGGAAAATTCTTTGAAAATCTTCTTCTCAAGAATAACAAAACCATTATTGATCATATTTATATGGAAGCATCCTCAGGTAGTGTAGATTCAAGTTTTTCCAAATCATGACCCCCGGGAGTAGGGCGGGGCCAAAATGGCCGACCAAAGTTTAACGTAGAAATATATAGGAAAATTCTTTAAAAATCTTTTTCTCAAGAAAAGTAAAGCCATAATTGATCATATTTATATGGAAGCATCCTCAGGCTGTGTAGATTCAAGTTTGTTCAAATCATGACCCTCTGGTGTAGGGCAGGGCCAAAGTGGACGATAAAAATTTTACGTAGAAATTAATAGGAAAATTTTTTTAAAATCTTCTTCTCAAGAATAGCAAAGACATAATTGATCATATTTGTATGGAAGCATCCTCAGGTAGTGTAGATTCAAGTTTGTTCAAATCATGACTGCCGGGGGTAGGGTGGGGCCACAATGGCCGACCAAAGTTTTACATAGAAATATACCGGAACTTTTTTTTTAAATCTTCTCAAGAATAGCAAAGCCATGATTGGTTATGGGACTACTTTTGGATTTAAACTTTTCAAAAATAAACAATTTTCTACTTTTTCCTAGCCACAGTGCTCAGATGAGGCCCATGGGCCTCTTGTTGATTTTGATGCTTGATGTTGCCGTGATAACTAAAATTGAAAATTCTTTGAAGTTTTATTAAAAGCTACTCCTAAAGTTGTAGTCTTATTGCAATCTTGCAACAAAAAGAGACTTGATCAAGGATCATTATTCTATTTATTGCTTTTGTAAAGTTTTAGTCCCAACTGCTATTTTTGTCCCCCGCTTTCGCGAAAGCGAGGGGACATTAAATCTCATTCGTCTGTCCGTCGGTCCGTCTGTCCGTCAGTCTGTCCGTCCGTCACAAAAACTTTAACCTTGCCCATAACTTTTGATTTAGTGGAGCTATGATTTTCATATTTCATATGTGTATTCCTTGTGACAAGACCTTTCTTTGGGTACCACCAAATTTAACCTTTTGACCTTGACCTTAAAGTTTCAACTACTTTTACTAAAAAATTCATAACTTTTACTTTGGCCATAACTTTTGAATGGTAGGTACTAGGACTTTCATATTTCAAATATTTACTCTTTGTGACAAGATCTTTCATTGAATACCAACAACTTTGACCTTTTGACCTTGACCTTGGAAATTAGCGTACTTATGAAAAACTATATCCTTGACCATAATTTTTGAACGGTAAAGGCTACGGCTTTTATACTTCACGTATGTTATTCTTGTAAGAAGACCTTTTATTGGATACCAAGAACTTTGTCCTTTTGACCTTGACCTTGGAGTTTTAACTACTTTTTAAAAATTATAACCTTGGTCACAACTTTTGAACGGTAGATACAAGGATTTTTATATTTCACACATGTATTCTTTGAGGCAACACCTTTCATTGGATACCAACAACTTTGACCTTTGGACCTTGACCTTGGAGATTTACGTACTTCTGAAAAAACTTTAACCTTGACCATAACTTTTAAACGGTAAGGTTAGGGCTTTCGTATTTCACGTATGTAGTCCTTGTGAGAAGACCTTTCATTGCATACCAAGAACTTTGACCCTTTGACCTTAACCTTGGAGTTTTAACTACTTTTTAAAAACGTTAACCTTGGTCACAACTTTTGAACGGTAGAAACTAGGACTTTCATATTTTAAATATATGTATTCTTTATGGCAAGACCTTTCATGGGATACCAAAAACTTTGACCTATTTACCTTGACCCTAAAAATAATATCTTGCCCACAAAGATACCGAAAGCGGGGGACCACAATTCTTTGAATTTGCTTGTTCTCTTCCTCTATTATAAATACAAACCAGTAACTGTACAGTCTCGACAGAGACTTCTGGTTTAATGCTGAATTTAACCTACGTTTTAAGGATGAGTGAATATGTTTAAGTTTTTAAATCAGGTTCATTCTAAAGCAGGTAGATGTCCTATGTTAAGCAAACTTGCATGGATAATACATTTAAGGATGCACATTAATGGACTTGCTTCGGATGCTGGATCCAACGAATATTTTCCAAATAACGGACTAGGTTAAAGTTATGGGTGCTGGCCCATCATCAAGAAACTGTAATGCCTAATATTAACCAAACTTGCATGAGTGATGCATCAAGGGATGAACACATGTACTCTCAAACTTGCTTCAAATGCTTAATTTGAATAATTATTATATTTTCTTGATGGGCGACTAGTTTGAAATTTTTGGATAGGTCTATTCCCATGTAACTGCAATCCATATTGGATTAAAATTGCATAAATTTTGCATTTTGGGATGTAAACTCATAGAATGTTGGTTAATGGTGGGACATTTGTTGAGGCGAGCTCTGTAATCTCTGCTTACCTATGTTTTATTTTTAGCTCACCTCAACGAAGTTGGGGGAGCTTATGTAATACCGTCGGTGTCGGCGTCCCGGGTTAAGGTTAAGTTTTTTGGAGCAGTTTTCTTTTTAAGTACTTCTATGTCCTATATTGATTAGACATGCATGGAAGATGTTTCTAGTGTTTTTCACTGTACCAGTCAAAGTTTCAGATGCTGCAATTTCAGCAAAGGAATAACCAGGTTAATGTATTTGGAGCAGGTTAACATTTTTGGTGCAGTTTTTGGTGTAGGTCTCATTTCCGAGTAACTATAAGCCCTATGTTGACCAAACTTGCATGGATGCACACTACCAGGCTTGCTTCGGATGCTGAATCTGACCTACATTTTCCGCATGAGTGAACAGGTTTATGTTTTTGGTGCAGGTCTCATTTCCAAGTAACTATGAGCACTATAGTGACCAAACTTGCATGGATCATACATCTAAGGATGCATACTACCAGACTTGCTTCGGATGCTGAATCTGACCTACATTTTCTGGATGAGTGAACAGGTTAAAGTTTTGGGTGCAGGTTTCGTTTCAAAGATACTATGAGCCCTATAATGACCAAACTTACATGGTTGGTACATCTTAGGATGCATACTACCAGACTTGCTTTGGATGCTGAATCTGACCTACATTTTCTGGTTGAGTAAATAGCTTAAAGTTTTTAGTGCAGGGTTCATTTCCAAGTTACTATGAGCCCTATAATGACCAAACTTGCATGGATGGTACATCTTAGGATGCATACTACCAGACTTGCTTCGGATGCTGAATCTGACCTACATTTTCTGGATGAGAGAACAGGTTAAAGTTTTTGGTGCAGGATTCATTTCCAAGTAACTTTGAGCCCTATAATGACCAAACTTGCATGGATGGTACATCTAAGGGTGCATTCTACCAGGCTGGCTTCAGATGCTGAATCTGACCTACATTTTCTGGATTAGTGAAAAGGTGAGTTTTTTTATACAGGTTTCATTTCCAAGTAACTTTGAGCTCTATGTTGAGCAAACTTGCATGGATGATACATCTTAGGATGCACACTAATGGACTTGCTTCAGATGCTGAATTCGACATACATTTTCCAGATAATGGACCTCGTAAAAGTTATACATGCAGGTCTATTACCAAGAAACTATAAGGCTTATATAAACCAAACTTGCACAAATGATGCATCAAGGGATGAAAACTCTCAAACTTGGATCAGATGCTGGATTTTAATTATGTTTTCATGATGGAGAACTAGTTTGAAGTTTTTATATAGGTCTATTCCAAAGTATCAAATCAAAATTGCGTAAGTTTTGCATTTTTGGATGTACACTTTTTGTTGGTTAATTGTGTGACTTTGCCTTACTTAAAGACAACATTCGTTGAGGTGAGCTCTGTAATCTCTGATTACCTATGTTTGTAGTCAGTGACTACATATGTTAAACCAATCTGATTAAAAACAGATCCTTTGATTTGCTCACATAGATTGCTGCACAAGGTAGCTATCTATGTGAGTGAGTCAAAGGATCTGTATTTAAACAGATTGATGTAAAACATTCCTTATTTTGTAATATTTAGGTGACTTCTGGTCACTCCAGTATTTTCAAACACAAAACTTACAGATATCCACAGGTTTAGGTATGAACTTAAATCCAACATTGATAGAAAGATTTGAAGCTTTTCACTTTCAAGTTAGTACTTTATGAAATATGTTTTCTCCAATAGATAAATCTTCAGGATGGATATGGAAGAAGGGCTATTCACTATGCTGCTGAGAAAAATTCTGAATGTACAGAAGTTCTTGTAAAGCATGGATCAAGCATCAATGCTGGAGATGCTAATCAAGATACAGCACTCCACTGGGCTGTGTTTAAAAATAATGAACCTTGTGTTAAACTACTGCTAGAAAAGGGAGCAATCGTAGATGCCAGAGACTACAATGAGGACACACCTCTCAGCTGGGCAGCACGAAAAGGAAACATTGAAGTGATGAGATTATTGTTAGATTATAATGCATCTGTAAATCTTCGCAATGCAAATGGAGAGACTCCGATCTCGCGAACTTTACATTTACAAAATATTGGTTTAAATACAACTTCAGATGATGCCTGTTTAGAGCTTCTATTTTTGGCTGGAGGAAAAATTGAATATAAACATCAAAATATTAAGCACACAAACAGCAATGAGACTTTGAAATGTATTGTGAAATATTCAACTAATGTACGAAGTCTGCGAGATCTAAGCATATATACAGTACGTTCTTCTCTAGGTTATCAGTATTTGCCTAAAATAGTTGAGAAGCTGCCCATTCCATATCAAATTAAAAAAATTGTTCTCCTAAAGAAATAAAGTATGGATTCAGATTTTTTTTTTTCTTTCAACTTCAAACTTACCAGTGGAACCGCCGACCACCCCGATAAAGCTTATTTTATCAAGATAAGTCAAGAGGTAATATTGTGTCAATGTGTCTCATTGTATATTGGCAATAATGGGCGATCAAAATTTTACATTTATATATAGGAAATATCCTTTAAAAGTCTTCTCAAGAGCAGTACAATCATGATTGGTAATATTTTTACGGAAGCATCGTCAAATACCTTCAATTCAAATGATGTATTCAGAACTACAAAAGATGCATGTGACCTTTAGAAGAGAACAATTTTCCGGGAAAAATATTTAAAAATCAAAGTGGGAGTCTACGATTTAAAATTTCAGATACTAGTGTTACTAAAATGTGTTATTCTAATGCTAAGATTAACTTAATACTTAATTTTTTTTCCTGGACTTTCCGGATATATTATTTACTATATCTGTCACAATATATTGAAAGAATTCAGAGAAGTAATTAAAAATAAACATTTCAGAATCAGCATAAAACATTTCACTGCTAGAAGTAGCTCTGTTTGCAACCAGAATGGAAATATAGGATTCTAAACTTAACAATACATTCAAATATATTTCAAAACGGAAAAACTGATTGTTCTCTTCTAAAAAAAAAAAACTTCCGCCAAAAAAGATAGATCCTTGCTTAATCATATTTGAATGGAAAAAGATGGGGAACAAGGTGAGCAGAATGCCTACACGTCGGATATTAAGAAATCATATTCAATATGTGAATTGAGTGATTAAATTAGCTTCTCATTATTTGAAATTTATGAATGGAAAAACTTCTCTGAGAAAAAAAAAACTCTCGTAAAAATTTTTCCTTTATAAAAATATTACATGTTTTTCGTGGGGCTCGAACCCTAGCAATAAAAATCCGACGCATTAAACTACTTTGAGACTAAGGTGCTAACCACTATGCTGTATGGTTTATGACGACCCTTGACTTAATGGACTTAAAGTATTTCTTGAAAAGCTGCGAATGTTTCGTAATAAAAGTGTACTTTTATGTAAAAGTGTACTAAGGTGTAGTGGCATTTAGTGGATCTTCTCTCCATTATTTTTGTAAACCACAAAATGCATGTTTTATTGCAAACTTTTAGGATTATCTTTTTTAAAAAAATGGAGTGAAGACCCACTCATATTGAAAAAATTTGATAAAGTATGAGAAAATGATCGCTTTTGGTGGTTTTCGTGTTTGCCTTTTTCATAGGCAAATATATTCAGTCTTCGAGAGATTTTTGTAAATTGTAGCGATTTTATTTGAAGTATACTTAATATTAGATGAAATATAAAAAAAAAAGGATATAACTGAGATTAGATTTTTCACTTCTTATCTGTCGCACTTAAGGCACTTCGTCCGCCCCCCCCCCCCCCCCCCCCAATCTTCTTTAATCATGATTTTTCATGCATGTAGTTTAATTTGCATTGTAGAATCCAGACTTAAGGTTAGGACTTTAAAATGATGCAGGTTTTTAGCTCACCTGAGCCGAAGGCTCAAGTGAGCTTTTCTGATCAAAATTTGTCCGTCGTCTGTCGTTGTCGTAAACTTTTCCCATTTTCATCTTTTTCTCAAGAACCACTGGGCCAATTTCAACCAAACTTGGCACAAAGTATCCTTGGGTGAAGGGGATTCAAGATTGTTCAAATGAAGGGCCACGCCCTCTTGCAAGGGGAGATAATTATGAATTAGTGAAAAATTAATAGCATTTTTAAAAAATCTTCTTCTCAAGAACCACTGGGCCAGGAAAGATGAAACTCATGTGGAATCATCCTCAGGTAATGTAGATTCAAGTTTATTCAAATCATGACCCCCGGGGCTAGGGTGGGGCCAAAATGGCCGACCAAATTTTTACATAGGAATATATAGGAAAAATCTTTAAAAATCTTCTTCTCAAGAACCACTGGGCCATGAAAGATGAAACTCATGTGGAATCATCCTCAGGTAGTGTAGATTCAAGTTTGTTCAAATCATGACCCCCGGGGCTAGGGTGGGGCCAAAATGGCCGACCAAAGTTTTAAATAGGAATATATAGGAAAAATCTTTTGAAAATCTTCTTCTCAAGAACCACTGGAATAGGAAAAATGAAACTCATGTGGAATCATCCTCAGGTAGTGTAGATTCAAGTTTGTTCAAATCATGACCCCCAGGGCTAGGGTGGGGCCAAAATGGCCAACCAAAGTTACATAGAAATACATACAAAAAATCTTTTAAACTCTTCTTCTTCTTAAGAACCACTGGGCCAGAAAAGATGAAACTCATGTGGAATCATCCTCAGGTAGTGTGGATTCAAGTTTGTTCAAATCATGACCCCCGGGGCTAGGGTGGGGCCAAAATGGCCAACCAAAGTTTTACATAGGAATAGATAGGAAAAATCTTTTAAAAATCTTAAGAATCATTGAGAAAGGAAAAATGAAACTTAAATGAAACTAGTGCTAATTGTAACGGGGACTGTTACAGATGTTCCCCAAACGCTCCCCAACTCCCTTTTGGTGCCATATTCCCTGGAGGCTTCATTAAATAGGACAAACTCTATGCATTTAAGACTTTAACTACGTTTACTCAGAAGTGTACCAAGTTCATTCAAATTTAAGCATTGCACGCTTGCGCATGTCAATGCATGTGCGTAATGACCATATCATCTTCTCTACACAATCTATATATTTTGATATACTAAATATTATAGTATTTAATCCAAAAGTTTTAAAAATACGCTCATTCAAATGTATTTTTTTATTTTACTCTTTTCACGTGCACGCACGTGCATACATGAGCATGGTGACCATACCTTCTTGTAGAAGTCCATTACATCTATCTATGTTCTAAATCCCACCCCGTTTGGTTGTAAACCAAAGGAGTAATAGCTGTTTAAAGTTTAATCCAATCAGATTGCAGCGCATGTACACGCACGTGCATGCATGTGCATGGTGACCATACCTTCTTGTAGAAGTCCATTATATCTATCTATGTTCCAAATCCCATCCCGTTTGATTGTAAACCAAGGGAGTTATAGCTATTTAAAATTGCAGCCAATCAGGTTAC